AGGAATGGCTACAAAGCATTGTTAGTACATATCATCTTCTGTACCAGAAATATGAGAGAGCCTATGAACTTATACAAAAGATAGGAATGAGAGCTAGGAGAATATTCTTCTTCTTGCTCTGTGATGCTTGAAAATTATTTAAAAAGAAGGAAACCCTGTCATTTGTGACAACATGGATGAACTTGGAGAACATTATATTAAGTGAAATAACCCATACACAGAAAGACAAATACCAGAAGATCTCACTTATATGTGGAATATAAAAAGTCAAACTCACAGAAGCAGACAGTAGAATGGTAATTACCAGAGGCTGGTGGGGGTCAGGGGATTGAGGATGTTGGTCAAGGGACATAAAAATTTGTGTCCTTTAGACAGGAGGAATAGGTTCAAGAGATCGATTGCCCACCATGGTGATTATAGTTAATAGATTGTATATTTAAAAATTGCTAAGATAGTATTAATAGATTTTAAGTGTTCTCGCCACAAAAAAGTATATGATGTAATATATATGTTAATTAGCTTGATGTAGCCATTCCACAATGTATACATATATCAAACTATCTTGTTATACCCCTAAATATATACAATTTTTATATATCAATTAAAATATTTCAAAAAGTCATTCTTTGTACTCAAACTCTGTTTAAGAGAGCATTTTTAATCTAGTGCAACTAGTGGCTCCTGTATTATAGATATTACTGGTAGGGAAAACGGACCAAAAAAATCCACATTTTTAAAGATAATTTAAGGGTTTCCTTGTGATTTTCTTATATAATATTCACTAAGGCCAATGCCAATTGTGAGATTATTTAACACTCAATCTAGAATCCGTTTTTAGCATTCTTTATGTGTGTTTAAAACAAATGGTGTTTCAACTTAATTTCTCATAAAACACACAGTGTAACTGAAAAAAGGCACATCCTAAAAACTGGATTTACATGTCCTACTTCAGTGTCTCATTTACGGAGAGAATGTGTTTATGACAACACAGCCTTCAGCTACAATCACAGAATAGCTTCCATGTAATCAGTGAACCACCAGATGGCACCACTGAACATCTTGAGATTAGCTTATCACTGGATGACTTCTTGGTTCTCTAGATGACAATGCATCGTAAGACCTTCAGAAGGAAAGGACAATGTTTTGTGGGCCATTTTTGGTTCTTGTGTGGCAGTTTTAAGTTATCAGTTTTTAAAATCAGTACTTTTTAATGGAAACAACTTGACCCCAAATCTGTCACAGAATTTTGAGACCCAAAGTTTAATGAGAAAAAAAAAAAATTAGTGTTATGCCTCCAGTGTCAGTCACTTCTAATGCATAGAGTATGAAAGGGACAAATAGTAACTTTACAGCTGAGAAATCTGGCAGACATTACCTTAACTAGGTGATCAAGGTTAACACGGCTATTGATCAGTGATGGTGATACGTGTACCTCTGATATGATGGATGAAAAGAGCACTTCACTTCTGTGGTATTCTTCCCCTAAACCTATAACCTCAGTCTCATCACAAGGAAACACCAGACAAACCAAAATTGAGGGACATTTTACAAAATACTTGACCAGTACTCTTGAAAAGTGTCAAACAGGAAAAGTGAAAAACAGGAAACACTGAGGACCTGTCTGTCACAGATGGGAGGAGCTCAAGGAGACATGGAAGCTAAATGGAATGAGGAATCCAGGAAAAGGGGTGTTAGTGGAAAAATTGGGGAAATAAGAATAAATTCTATAATTTAGTTAAGAATATTGTACTGATATTAATTTCTTACTTTTGACAATTGTACCGTGGTCACGTAAGATGTTAACATTAGAAGAAGCAGCGTAAAGGGTATGCAGCAACTGTCTGTACTATCTTTGAAACTATTCTCTAAGTCCAAAATTATTTCAAAATAAAATTTTAAAAGGTCAAGTTACAGAGGGAAGTTTCTGAAAAACTATCTTAATAGCAGAAAATTTCCATCATTTATTATTCGTATATACCAGACTTCTATGGAAGCTTATATAATGGTTTGGCATATTAACCCGGTACATGGTTCCAAGACCTGGGGTTTTATTCCTCTGTCGGCACAGTGAGCATATTTTTCAAACCCCACATTAGGATACATTGTCTGACAAAATAATTTTGTGCAATTTTCAAATGCAAATCAATCACAGATAATGAGGGGTAGAACCGAGCTGATTTTTTTCTGTTCTATGGCCATGGTTGGCACCTTTTCATGACGTTCAGTTATCTCACTAATGTGTGTTGTAAGTATGATGGCTTTACAAATTTTGTATTTTACTGATCATTCGTCAAATCAGATAATGGGTAGCTAATATCTTTGCTAATGTGCCAAATACTTTTTATTGCACAGTATAGTAGTTTGGCCCATAAATAACGTATTAGAATCAAGGAAGGACAGACACATGGTAATTCCTTTAAGGGGTGTGTGAGAACCAGATTCCAACATATGTTGTATTTGTGCATATGGATGTGGGAAAAATTTTACTAGGAAGTGTTTGTATGAATAATTAGGAAAACAATGCTTTCTAAATCATAACATGGGCTAAATAAATAAAAATATTAATATATAATTTCTCTCAGGGATGTAAATAAATTTGAAGGGTTTCCGACATATTCAGTAATTTTTATAAACTAAGCTATAGTTAAGGTGTTGTCACATCCTACAAAAAGAACGTTGTAAACTGTTTTTTAACTATCCAGGAAAAATAATCTCACTCCATTCAAATAGGCTTCCTAAATTAAGAAAAGTGACAGAAGATAATACAAGCTCGTGCTTTTTTGAAAATTTAAAAAATGATACCCAGGCTAAAGAGTTTGCAAAGGAATTGATTGTTCTCTGAGAAAAGAGAAGAGTGTTCCTAGAACCTTCTGCTATTGTTTCATGAATTGATTCTTACAAACTCTGCCTCATTTCCATTTCTCACATAATCCTTATTTCGCTTCTGGTATTTTTTTCCCCCAAGATTTTAGTTTAAACAGAAAAGTCTTGATCTTGGGTTCCTACTTTCCCCTGATCAATCAATAACCTGTAACTTTTTCCTTTCCTTTAAAAACTCTGTGGTGGCTGGCATGCTCCACCCTAAACTGCTCACGTGATTCTAGACATTTCCTTTACCTTGATCACTAGTTTTTGAACCCTATCCCAAGTCAAGCCCATTCCCTTGCTTAGTTTTCATACTTCTAGCCTTGTGTACTAGTTTCTTAGGACTGCTATAACAAATTGCTACTATCTGGATGGGTTAAACTAATGAAATTTATTTATGCCTCCATAATTCCAGAGGTCAGAATTCTGAAATTGAGGTGAATTGCAGGGCCATTCTCTCTCTGAAGGCTTTAGAGAGGAATCCTTCCTTGCCTTTTCTTAGGTTCTGGCATTGCCAGCAATCCTTGATATTCCTTGGCTTGTAGTTAGACCACTCCAATTTCTTCCTGTCTTCTGTTAATACATGGCTGTCTCTCCTTTGTGTGGGTCTGTATCTCTGCGTTCAAATCTCCCTCCCCTTTCTCTGATAAAGACATCAGTCATTGAACACCCCAATCCAGTATGACCTCATCTTAATTTGATTACATCTGCAAAACTTGTTTCCAAATGAGGTCACATTCTGAGGTTACAGGTGAACCTGAATTTGGGGGGACACTGTTCAACCCAGTACAGCCCCCAAATAAAATCTTCTACTAGGGGGGACACTGTTCAACCCAGTACAGCCCCCAAATAAAATTTTCTACTTCTATCTGAATGCCTTCAGATAAGGCATTCTGTTTAAGTTACTCATAGTAATATTGTAGTTCTCTAAAATACAGTTTGAAATATGTTTCAGAGGTGCCAGCCATAAAATAAGAGCTCTGATTAAAACCTTTATGTTCATTTTTAATAATTATAAATCTGTAACTTGTACTTTAATTTAGGGTAAGACTGAGTTCTTAGAACTCATCATGTTTTCAATAAGAAAGAACCTGTTAGAACTTATTCTTCATAAATATTTTTGGTTCATATAATTCAGGACATATTAAACAGTTTAGAGGCTATCAAATTAATTATAAATCAGTTATCAGTGATCATTATGGAGAAACATATGTGTGTGAAGAAAGGTCCAGTGGAAAGATATGTCTGCATAGTACTATTAATACATAATCAGCTGGAAAAATGTGTAGTAGAACATCTTCTTTTTCACCATCAATTGAAAATTTTCACTGTTTTGGTGCCATACAAACCTAGACTAAAGATACTAAGTAAGCAATCACTTTAAATGGCCAATTATGTCCACTACTTAATATTTCTACAAACATAGAAAGCAAAACTACACCATAAACTTGCTTGAGGTTTTTGTTTGTTTTGCTTTCTTTAAATTTTTATTTTTTATTTCAGAATATTATGGGGGTACAAACATTTTGGTTACATATAATGCCTTTACCTCACCTAAGCCAGGACTACAAGTGTGCCCTTCCCTGATACAGTGTGCACCGCATCCATTGGTCTCACTGTGTCACCCAGGCTGGAGTGCAGTGGTGCGATCATAGCTCACTGTAACCTCCAATTCCTAAACTCAACTGATCCCCTCGCCACAGCCTCCTGAGTAGCTAGGATTACAGGTGTGCACTACCATGCCTAGGCTATTTTTTTTTATTTTTAGTTTTAGTTTTTTTATACAGACAGGGTCTCACTATGTTGCCCAGGCTGGCCTGGAACTCCTGGCCCCAAATAATCCTCCCACCTCAGCCTTCCAAAATGCTGGGATTACAGGCATGAGCCACTGTGGCTATCCTGCTTGGTTTTTTTTTTTTTTGAGTGAAATGATTGGGGGTTCTTTAAAATGTTAATGATGTAATATTTCTATTTTATATATAATATCTTATATTTCATTTGTATATGACATTTTATATTTCATAATATGCAATGTGTTTGACTTTATTTCGTTTTCATATTTTCAACTTTGTTTGCTTCTTGATAGCTGGATTATCTAGCCAGCAGCTGATGTTTATCACTATCCTGTCTTTCAGGGACTTCATGAGAAGACTGGTGCATTAACGGCTGTTAAAGTGATGAACGCTCGTAAGGTAATATTATATCCTGCTTATATCCTGTTTCCTTAATGGACTGTGTTCTTGGGATAAACAGCTTAGAAAATATTGTTTTTATTTTTACATAATTATTTTGTATAATCATTAGTATATTAATCTGGACTTATTTACCATTTAATATTTATATCCATTAGTATATTATACTTATTGATTTACTATATTTCCACATAAAAATGCTTCCCTCACAACATATGTTGTACATATTTTGATATTCTATAACCATGGGGAAGATATGTGTTCCTCTCTACTTCTAGTTGATTATCTGTTTCCAGGGACAGCAAAGAAGAGATTTCCTCTAATATCGTGTTAATCCTGCTGTGTTCCAGCATATTCTTTTCCATCTCCAACAATCCTTTCTGAGAATTGAGGCCATTAGATTTTCAATGACAGGTAGAAGGAAGAAACTTGCACATGTTTCATGTATTTTTTGACAGATGAGCAAGAGAGACAGTTTAATTGGCACTGTTCCTGCTAACATTCATAAAGTTGTGTCACGGTTCATAACGTATTGTCATAGGATTTGCTAGCACTGATTTCTGTCCTCTTTCTTTAACATGAGTACTTCACTTTCTGAAGATAATATTAGCACGAACACAGCAAAGGTCAAAAAATTTTCACTTCACTATACCCTAAAGGGAAATTTATGTTTGAAAAAAACTATACAGATTCACTGAACTGTTGTCAATGCCATAAACTGTTCTTTTCCAATTTGTGTAGGAAGTGAATTGCTGAAACTATTTAAAGAGTCCTGTGCTTTTTGTTTTGTCAGTGAATGTCAAATGTTGCAAACCCATGTGAATTTCAAGGGATTTTGAGGTTTTGTGGGTTTGTTTTGCCCTATAAACCATGGCTTCCAAATAATCAACCTTGTGCTTTTTTAGTGAGACTTTCTAAAATACTTATTTCCTTGTTTTAACTTGAGAGACCTTGACCCACATTTAATCTAAATTTCAGATACTCTGACTTTTAAAATATTTATTTTAAAATACTTATTTCCTTGTTTTAACTTGAGAGACCTTGACCCACATCTAATCTACATTTCAGAAACCCTTTAAAAATATTTAAAAATCATGTTCAGCCCATAGATGGTTAGCGTCAATTACCTGATTTTGTAAGGGGGGGAGCACTTTACTAATATCAAAATGTAGTTTTCCCATTAATGTGGTAATTAAATCTATTCCATGAATTTGTTGCCAAGTTTCTGTATAAGAATCTGATTCTTTTTATTAAAACTGTTAGTGAAAATTGAGAGAGGAATATTATCTTACGCTTCCATTTATTGCTAAAGGAACATAAAGTACTTAAGCATAAATCATTTTGAGAGCAGACCAGTAGGTCTAATAACATTTCATTCTTGGTTTTGCAGACCCCTTTACCAGAAATAGGAAGGCGGGTGAGAGTGAATAAATATCAAAAGTCTGTCGGGTGGAGATACAGCGTGAGTATATCCATTAGTATATTATACTTATTGCACCCAAGTAGTCTTTCCTTTAATATTCAGCTCTAAACACATCCCTTTGTATTGTGTCATTATATCTAGAAGGCTACCACTAAATAAGTGTTCTTTCCTGGAAGTGATAACATAGCTATATATTTTAACATATTCACATAGATTCAATATGATAATATTTGAACACTAGCATCTATCAGAGAGCAGGGCCTAGAAGAAATAGTCCCTTGAACAGAAGAGTGTTTGTTGACTGCAGGTGAGGAATTGAGTAAATCTACAGAGCATAGAGCCCTCTGGCTGGGTGGCAACGAAAGAAGAGATAATGAGACCAAGAGAAGATTTTGCCTAAAATTGGCCTTGGCAGGGTCCTTTTCACACCTTTTACGTGGTGTTCTGGACTGAATGGCTTTTCCCCAACTATGATTCCAACAAACATTATTTATCATTGTATATGAGCCAAATGAGGCCTGTCCTTTTTGTAATTATAAGAACAATAGCGGACAGAAAACCAACAAACTACCCAGCCTAATAGTCTTTGGACAACTGGCCCTGTACTTGAATGCACAGAGGAGTGTGAAGATGTTTTTTTATATGCATCTTTTTGACTGCTCTACAAAGCAGTCTCTTTGATCGCAACAGTTCCCTACTAACTCTAGCATAAGATCAAGCAAAGAGAATTCCTGGTTTTCAGTAGATGTTGGTGATCTATACAAGTATTGTGTGAGCCTAACAGCAGATCCCCTGCTCTTATCAATATAATTCATTAATATATTTTTCCTACTTTTCTACCCTACCCTGCAATCGACTATATAGAATTCAAACATTTTCAACCTTTTGTGCCTTAATAGATAAGTTCTCAGACACATTAAAAATAATCCTTTCCATTAACACAATCACCTTCAGAAACTTTCTAGTTATTATTAGAAAGATATTGCTAAACAGCTTCACGATTTATGATACTAGGCTCCTATTGTATTTATGATGTATCTCAGGAGACAAAGCATGTCCAAAGGAAACACCTACAACAGATAGTGTCATGCTTTGGTAGCTCAAGTAGCCACAAAAGGTAAGGTATGAAAAATATAATTATTTGATAAATCCTGATTTCATCGAACATTCATGTTAATAAAACTCCTTTAAAGATCTGCCCCCAACCCTGTCTGGTGCTCTTTCCATAAAGAAAAGGATTTTGATTGTAGAATTCGTTGAAATTACAAAGGAAGTTCTGGCATCCTTGAGCTGCCTCTTTCTTGACAAAAAGCAGGGTATTCAGGCCAGTCTGGGATCAGCTGGCCCTGAGCCAGGAAATGATGTAGCATCGTATTACTGGGAGATGTGTGAGAGTTTTAAATTACCCACTTGGCCTGATGGATATAATGTACTTATGTGTTTCTCACAAGCTCAGCTTCCTGTTAATTGAGAGTGGCAAACACACTAATGCTTTCCAAACATATCTGATCTTCATTTATTTGTTTTGGGGGAGTTTACATTTATGTGGGAAACCCACTCTTAGAAGTTTTTTCTACTCAAAGACTTTGAATTCTCTGATTATGTATTTTAGTAAGAAAAATAACTGCTAGCTAATCATCCAGTTAGCATCTTTAAATCATCTTGAATCCTTTGGGATAAAAAAGTATGTGACTTGCATACATATCTCTTAGATGCCAGGGCAAGGGTCTACAGAAATAGCAATAATGTGGAAGTCCAGAAACATGAGTTCAAATCCCAAGTCTACCACTAAATAGTCAAAAAGTACTTGGGAAAGTGGTCTTCTTGCATCTCTAGGCCTCAGGTACCTCATAGGCAAAGTGACATCACAATGGTAACTACAGAGTTGCCTAGCGCCCAGCCAGCTGCTCTCCTGATCCTGCTTGGAGACATAAGTTTTCTAATAACATGGAAAGATAAGGAAGCTCCTTGACATCAAGCTGCCAAACAGGTGAAAGGACTCAGTCTTTAACTTGTCTTTAACTTGTTCTTTGCATTCTTAACCTCTCATCATCATCTCTTCTCTATTTATTGTACGATTTATGAGTTCATATTCCTCTCAGGATAACTTTGCTATTTTAATAGAAACTGAGAGTGCCTATGTGTGTACAGAATCGCTAGTCCCTGTAGTTTATTTCTGTGTGGTGCCAGATATTGTTACAATTTCAAAGGAGGGGATTCAAAAAGTTTAAGGGTTTTACATAACAAGAATGAAAGCCACAGGATCAACTTTTACCTTTCTAGAAAACAGGTTAAGGGAAGTTGAAGGAAACTTACTAACTGATCTTCTTTGAGAGGCTGGGATGAGACTGAGGGAGCTTCCATGGAATTCTCATGCTACACATTGATTTATTTTATTCGTTCATGCATTTATTACACAATAAATAGAAAGAGGGAACCTGGCATTGAAGTTTTCAACTGGACAAATCAGGCTCCTTCCCTTTCTCCCATAAGACAAATAGGTTTCTAGAGATTTATTTTCTAGTAGTTAAATGTTTATAGGTAAATCCACTGGAAAATCCTAGGGAAATACTAAAGAATGTTCTGCAGCTGCCAGCCATTTCGCTGAGATTTCAAACTTTTTTTTTTTTCAAAATATATTATAAATACTGGGCATTTTAGGGAACAGACGGTAATTTACAAGCAAAAAACAAATCAGTTTGGAGACACTACAGAGCCTAGTGCATTGCGTTATATTTACTTCATAAGTATTTTTAAAGCCTAGCCACAATATAGCTAAATTAGCTAAATACAAAACATAGTTGTCTATGTTTTCTGCTGGGTCTTTGAGAATAATCAAAGAAGGAAGGTGATAACTGTGTAGATCTATTTACTTACCTATTCATTTCAGCAAGGAGATTTATTTCCCTGTACCCCCAGGTCATTAAGTCAGAGTAGTTGAGGGAAATGCTGGGGAGAACTAAAGATAACTGGCGATTAACCCTTTAATTGCTTTTCATGTCAATTAGCCCTTTCCTAATTCGTTGCCCAAAAGAAGACAAACGTATCCTTTTTCACTGAATTTCAGAACAAGGAAATCTTTGTATTTTTAATTCAAACATCTTCCTTTCTTTCTATTCTACACATATATTTCACTTTGGACAATAAGAATATTTCTAAAAAGTTTTTATAGATTGAATTTATATAGATGCCATAGGAGAGATATTTTAGATTTACAATCAAATACAAATATTATTTTTTTGAGACAGAGCCTTGCTCTGTTGCCTGGGCTAGAGTGCCGTGGTGTCAGCCTACCTCACAGCAACCTCACACTCCTGGGCTCAAGCGATCCTCCTGCCTCAGCCTCCCGAGTAGCTGGGACTACAGGCATGCGCCACCATGCCCAGCTAATTTTTTCTATATATTTTTAGTTGGCCAATTAATTTCTTTCTATTTTTAGTAGAGACGGGGTCTCGCTCTTGCTCAGGCTGGTCTCGAACTCTTGACCTTGAGCAATCCTCCCACCTTGGCCTACCAGAGTGCTAGGATTACAGGCATGAGCCACCACGCCAGGCCACAATCAAATAAAATTTCAAGCTAGTAGGAATTCAAAAGAGTCCAGTAGTGAATCCTGTTCTTAACTGCAGAATCACTTTCTGAGTCATCTCACAGCACCTTTGACTTCATTATGCACTATTTTGTATTCATCATTGGTTATCTCATTCATGTCTGTTACTCTTATTTCCCTGTAAGTTACTTTAAGTTACTGTATTTCCCCGACAGTAAGACAGCGTCTTATATTTATTTTTCCTCAAGAAGACACCCTAGGGCTTATTTTCAGGGGATGTGTTATTTTCCCCTCAAAGCCTCAGCTTGCAGCACGCACAGGATGGCCGGGACCTGACAGGGGGAGCCGACCTTTTTGGTGGGGCTGCCTGCACCTTTCCAGTCACCTCTGGGATAGTAGCTGTCACGATGGGGCAGATGAGAAGGGCTGCTGGTCTTGTTTACCGCTCCGAGATGAAATGCATGGGTTGTGCAGATACACTGCGTAGCCACGCCCAGCACTAGGTCTTATTTTCGGGGTAGGGCTTCTATTGCACAAATGCTTAGAAATCCTGCTAGGACTTATTTTATGGGTAGGTCTTATTTTCGGGGAAACACAGTAGGACCATAACACCAAAATGCACAAATCAATGCTATGTTCATTGAAAATTCCCAACAATTCAAGTTATGTTTTTGTAAGTTAATATTTTAAGATGTTCTTCTTTAGTGAATTGGGTCTGTGTATGCTAAAGCCTGATTTTTAAAAAATCACTAAGAAGCAAAGAACTTTTTCTAGATAGTCTGAGAAATAAGAGTTACAGAAGGATTATCAAAATCACTTGGTTGTCATGGTACGTGCAGACATACCCGAAGCTTAGGGAGAGAGAATTGCTTCCCATTTCACTCCACTACAACAAATGTTTTGGGAATGAAGGGGGCTGATGTCTGTAGATTAGGTAAACAGTGGAGAGAGGTGTATAGTTCTGCTAACACTCTGACTAATTCAAATAAGTCAAGTAACGAAGACACTTTGTGATAACACCTTGCATTTATAGCATTTTTGTCTACCAAGGATTTTAGAGAACTTTATGTATATTGTCCCATTTAACCCCACTAATGTTTCATGCAGATAGGTAATGGCTGCTATCTTCTATCGTTTTTTCAAAGTAAATTAAATCCTAGGAAGATTAAGTGAATTTCCTACTCTATCAGTGCTAAAACTTAGATGTCCTAATGCACAGGATAGGTGTTCTTTTCTGACTAGCACCACACCGTCTTCTGCTAGAGCTGTCTCTTGAAGCTATGTATTGTAACTCAGTGATCTCATCCAATCAGATGTTTCCAATTATCACTATGTAGATAATTTTCAAAACAATATATCTAGAAATGACTTGTCCCCTAAGCATCAGACTCAGATCTCCATACTGTGCAGTCTTATGCAGCCAAATAAATGATGTGCATTTGTTTATTAATATAGAAAGATGTGCTTTATATATTGATGAAAGCATGAAAGTTGAAGATTAGTGAGAATAATATGACCTTGTTTGGGTTTTTTAAAATGCCATCTTTCTTGTGCTCTCTCTCTCTCTCTCGATATATATATATATACATATATATATTAATCATATCTTTATCCATTATCTCTGTTATCTCTCTAGCTACTACATAAGCATATACAAATGTCTGAAAGAATATAACTAAACTATTAGCATTGGTTGGGAAACATGTTCAGTGAGAGTAGATCACTTACATATTTTATATCATATACTTATATATAGTTGATATGTATGTACCACTGTTGTGATTAGGAAAATAAGTGATTTTAAATATATCTTTTAAAAAGATCAGCATTGCTGATTGATTAGAGTTGGGGTGTGTTTGGCAAAATTGGGGGATGGGGATGATAGCTAAAGGATATGGGATTTCATTTTGGAGTGATAAAAATGTTCTAAAATTGATTGTGATGATGATTGTACAACTTTGTAAACATACTAAAAATGATTTCATTTTACACTTTAAATAGGTGAATTGTATGGTATGTGAATTATACCTCAATAAAACAGGTACAAAACACACAAAAATGTAATGACTCCATCCAGTGAAAACTTTATACAGTGGCCAGGGCCACTTTGAGAATCACACTGAATAAAAAAGATCTTCACTATACCCTTTTTTCACCCAAATTCCTAGTTAATGAGAGATCTTCATTCATTGACAATTCCAGTTGTGATTTTATTGTAAATTGCCGTGGAGCATATTGAGTTGCCATAGAATTCTCTTTTGTTGATCTACTATAGCTTGGGGACCCGTTGTCATTGAATTATACAGTTTAGGAGTTTTGCTGTCTGTTCTTATTCCACAGGATGAAGAGGAAGATCTCAGGACTGAACTAAACCTTCTGAGGAAGTACTCTTTCCACAAAAACATTGTGTCCTTCTATGGTGCATTTTTCAAGCTGAGTCCCCCTGGCCAGAGACACCAACTTTGGGTATGTTTCTAATTACCCTGATCTTATTCTATAAGAGTAAGTCTTACCCAAGGACATATGCTTTCATGAGCTGTCACTTTTGTGCACCTACAGGAAAACATAAGCACCTAACAGCTCAAGGTAGTATGGCAAAATGTACTCTATGAGACCCTGTATCAAAAATAAGGAGTGATAAAATATGGAAAAATAACTTGTATCTTATTGGTGTGATGGAGGAGGACTCCAATAAACACTGGAAATCCGAAAATATCTAACAAATTTTTTCAAATATGGCTTTGTTGCTTTTAATGTTATGTAATTACCACTGTTGCTGGTATAGTGACTACCTGATGGAATAGTACATAATGACTGGATAAGGATTAATTCTAATTACCACTTGACATGAGCATATGGGTAATTTTAAGTATTTCAAAAATATATGCACTTGTAAACATAACTCCTAGAAACTGTTTTCTAAATGGTTAATTGACTTATCCTTTTCTTGTCATGCTGAGAGTATCACAAATCCTAGATCAATGAGACATAACTTTTAGAGGCTAACTGGAACCTATGCTACCTAAACTACAGTGACCAGAATTTTTGCTGCCCTCCACTATAAGACAAATAGTTAAATCACAAGAAAATGAGCTTCGGTCAAGGATGTGTTTATTAAAAAAGGAATATTTAGAACATAAGCTGGGGTCAGTATACACTTAATTTCTACACTTTCTACACTTCCATTCCTAGTCCAAGTTAATAATAGTATTGTTTCAAAATAATGACTGAAAATTTCAGGACCTTCAAGTGTCAATGAAAGATGCTATTACATTACATATAAAGGACTTGAGGAAGTAGGAGAGTGGACATTATAGAAAGATTTTCAACGAGGGGTTGAATTGAAACAGTGGTTTTCAAACTTTAGTATGCATTAGAATCTCCCGGAGAACCTAATAAAACACAGATTCCTGGGCACTACTCAAAGAGTTTCTGATTCAGTATATCTGGAATGTGGGTACAGGAATTTGTACTTGCTGCTACCCCAGTGTATATGTTGTGCCCATTCAATATAGTCAATGCTTAATTCTCTACATGAAAATCAAACTTTTGGAGTTTATCTGTATTATAGTTTTGTTTGGCTGCCTCTTCTTTTTGGTGAGAGTACACTCAAGAGAAAGACATGCAATAATATCAGTGGGTGAACAGCTATAAATTATAGGGAAGTAGTTTTCTAAAAAGAAAACCTTAATATTCCAAAAAGAAATAAGGTAGACTTTATGAACGGTCATGATTTTGGGCTTATCCTTTTGCTTGCATTCATCTGTGGTGATAATTAACTTGCCTAGAGTGTTTTTAAAAAGTTTTCCTCTTTTGATAAAGTGGTTTTGACGTGGGCAGTAATGCATAAACCTACACTTAAAGAAAAGTTTGCTAAGATGATTATAATAGTTATATTCTTTTTTACATGGTTCTATCCTTTAGTTAGCTAAAATTATGTGGAAGGAAATTTACTAGTTTGGCACTTAATTCATAGGTGGCAAAAATAAACTTCCTGAGAAATTGAGTTTATTAATACAATAAAATCTGAATGAAATACTGTCAAAGATATTAGCCTTAAAATAGGTTTTCCTTAGCAGTAACCCCATTTGGAAGAAATTATCCCACAGGTTTACAATTCACAAATTCCCCCTTGGAGTTGTAATTTGCTAGTATCTTGGGGAAAATAATCTGGAATTTGAAAATAAAGAGAAAACAACAAAAACTAAACCTAGTCTTAATGTTGAAATGTAAAGTCCTTTGAGACCCTCTATATCCTGCTTCTCCACCCCCCAATCAAACTGTTCCCTCAACTATCCTTTCCTTTCTACTCTAGTCATCACTCAGGCTTGTTTCTTGCACAAGCTTCTTTCTAAGGGCATGTGTTCATTCTGTTTTCTACAAAGTGAATGTTATTCCTTCTAAGCACATCCAAACACTACCTATCCTTCAAGGCTTAGCTCAAATCCCACCTCCTAGTTAAATATCCCTAGTGTGGCACCTGGCTTCTCTCCCTCCACCAGTCTTTGGGTTTTATCCAACTTTTGCTAATTCCCCTAGCCTTTGGAGTCTTCCACCAGACAATTGAGCCAGTCTTTGCAGTGCCTTAATCTCTACACATTACATATAAATACAAGCCATATGGACTAAAACTCTCCAGATATTTTCAGAGAATTACTTTCTAATTATTGATACTTTTCTGGCTTCACTGCAGATGGTTATGGAGTTGTGTGCAGCAGGCTCAGTCACTGATGTAGTGAGAATGACCAGAAATCAGAGTTTAAAAGAAGATTGGATTGCTTACATCTGCCGAGAAATCCTTCAGGTGAGTCTTCATATAGTATTCTCCCCAATCTTGAAAGAACCTGTACAATATACCTTATACCTGCTCATATCTGACTATTTGAGAATTCTAAATTCTAAATATAACCTCTGGATCAGGATATCTAAAAAGGACAAAAAATTTTGGAGAAAGATTTTCAGGAGATGTCCTTAAACTTTAAGGTAGACCACAAGGTGAGTAACCAAGACCTTTCAAATCATGGCCTTCAATAGCTCTGTCAGGTTCAGACTACTGTGTTCAATGGATCATGGAAATGACCACTTGGATTATTTATTATGTTATTATGGTTTTTAGAGTTCTTTAAAACAACCACATAGCACTATCCTCATAGGTTACGATGAAGATGAGCCAGTGTTCAGATGAGCCAGAAGTCAGTGTTCTACAAAATGGCCCTAAACCATCTGCAGCCTTTTTATAGACAGACATCCTCTTTTAATACTTCTCCACTTTTTAATTTTCTTTATTTTCTACACCCAATTGGATGAGATCAACCATCTTATTGATCTCCCACGCTCAGTTTTTTTGTGGTATGGCTTAAGTGCTTATTAACAAAAGGATATTAACAGAACTGAACAGCACCATTCATACAATGTTAGAATATCCTTCCCTCCATTTTGGTTAGATTCACTTGTGATAATAGAGTTAATATTAAAGAGTGAATACTCTGGACTGAGTTTATATTCTGGCTCACCATGTATTAGTTGTGTGACCTTGGTCCAATTACTTAGTTTTTCCAAGTTTTACTTTTCTCATCTATAAAATGGGGTGATATTAACATGCTCCTCAAAGTGTTGCTGTGAGGAATTCATAATTTACTCCATATAAAGCACTCAGCACAGTGCCTGGCAACGAATAAGGGCTCAATAAATGTTAGCTGTTTTTATTGTTACTTCAATTACAGATCCCCAGTTAGTGTTTGGAGCAATCTCACTGCAGCCTAACATTGCACACCATGTCATGGTTTAGCAGGTCACAGGTTAGTTTTAGTGGTGAATGAGCTGTAGCCAATGTGGTAAGCCAACACAAATTGCAAATGCTTTAAAATGCATTTCCATAGTCATCCAAATTCTCAGCCTACAAGGCTGATTAGAAAATATTTTGGACTAAACCAATGGTTGGATGAATAATAGAGCAAAACAATGGCTGAGCTATGATATTTAAGATGTCCAGGTCTTTCCTCTTATGGTTAGTTGGAAATATGGAGGCTAGAAAGGAAGGTAAAGTGGCCCAATGTATACAAACATTACCTTTTGGTATTCTTTTTCTTTCATGGGTGTCCTGATTTATTTTCCTTCTCTTAGAGCCAAAAGTCATATTTCTGGGAACTGGTTATGGTAATTCCAGCCTAAAGGAAGAATTTTGTCTGAAAAATCAAATCTAGGCCGTTTCTCTTACCGAAAGTCTTTCCAAAAATATTAACAATGGTACCAGAAAAGAGGAATAAAAACCATATACTGATGTGGCTTTTTAAAATATATATATATAAACATATGTATGGTATATTTATAGGGCTTAGCTCATCTTCATGCACACCGAGTAATTCACCGGGACATCAAAGGTCAGAATGTGCTACTGACTCATAATGCTGAAGTAAAGCTGGGTAAGTTTATTTTTGCAATATTTTAGGTGAGGCCCAAACATATTAATGTAGAAAACTCCTTTAAGATAACTGTGCTTTCTATCATGTCCCTGCCAATATCCTCTATTATTTGATCTGCATCTTCCTTGCCTGCAAAACCAGTCAAAATTTGAAAATTTGTTTGGGAAGGGAGGTGGGGCAAAAGAAAAAGGATTGCTTCTTTGAAATCATGTAGACTAAAATAACTTTTAAATTATAGCAGGGAGTTTCTTTTTGGTCATTACTTCACCTTCTACTAGAGATAGCTATTATATTTATCTCAACAATTGAATTTTTACCATGTGCAAGTTTTGGTGCCATGGGCAGGGATTAAAAAAAAAGAAGAAGAAAATTCTTCCACATCATAGAGCCATATTTTCCAAAGAATGTCAAAGAACATTTAAATTATATAAGCATGAATTGCTTCTTTGAGATTTTCTTTCAAATATTTAAAGAAATGACATTGATCAGAAATAATCAATAATAATATCCAATATTATTGGATATCCAATATCCAAATCAAAATCAGAATAAGAAATCAAAAGACCAGAAAGTCCCTGGCTTTCTATTCCAGGGTTCAAAGTAGAATAATTTATTTGAAAATAACCACACATGTTGTCTCTTCAAGCACACCAGGAACAATATTGTATCCTTTAATGTTTAAAATAAATATTGATGGTTAGTTTTTAAATATTACCATATAAATAATGTCCGTACTATGTAATGACAGATAACCCCATTGATATATAGAATGTTAATAACTTATATCATTTTTAATTATATCAACTCTTCATTAACATATTTGTCAATGTTAAGATATTTCCCATTTTCTTGCTAAACAGAATCAGAGGCTAGAGATTTTGTTCATTCATTAAAAACATTTTTTTGGAACATTTGTGTGAGAAGCATCACGTAGTAATTGTTTTCAAAATAAGTGAAAGTAGTTTAAAGAAAATGTATTATCTCTTTTGTGTTTAAAAGCCACAAGACTAGAAACACAATTTTGAAATACACAAGGGTCATATATTTTTCACGTTTAAATGTACAGGATAGTTAGTCCATCACAAGGTTAAACGCTATGCTCACATATAGAGCAACACTCCCATATACTTGGGTCAAGTTGCTGGCCAACCTAAACATTTGCAACGCAGAAGAGAAATTGTATATAAACAAAAAGCCACTGAAAGATCTGTCACAATGTCCATGCACTAAAGCTCACGTACTTTACTCTGGAGGAGGGACGTTTTAGTACTGGATTAGAATTTAATCAGGCTTATTTAACACATAATCCCTATATGATTTGTTTTAGATTTCTTAGATTGTAGCTATTTTTAAGAAACACATTATAAGGAGAAGGTTTCAGGAGGCAAAGCTAATGATAGCCAAAGGAAGTGACAAAAAGGGAAAAGACAGGAAAATGATTATATTGCAGTTGCAATTGCTCAATAATCTTCATATTGCAGTCCCTGAGGTCATTAAAGAAAGGTTAAATTATACCATTGTTGAGTTTTCATCTCTAACTTTTATCTAATTTTCAGCTTTTCTTTTCTTTATTTCTTTTTCCTTTTCTTTAATTTATCACTCTTCTAGTCTTTTCTCCTTTTATTTTCTTCCCTGATGTGTGCCATATATTATCTCATGGCCTTCATAGGTATTTCTTGGCCCTTAAAATTGGCCTTCGGGGACACTGAGAATGCTGAACTATGATTTAACCTATTTTTTAAAAAGTATAGTTAGATAATGAGATTGTACAACACCCAATAGTAATCATTGCAATATGCAGGAAATTTTTTGTTGTTGTTTTTGTTAGAGACTTTCTTAAAGGCTGGCTTAAACTCTTAAGTTTTTTTTTTCCTTTTCCATTTCTTCCTCTAAATTCTTCAAGCTTCTTTTCAGTCAATTTTGTTCGCCATCCTCTGGATTCCTGGAAACCATTCTAAATTAGGAAATCTGCTTCATTTTTCATCCCTGTCTTATTTTTTCTGGAATAAATAACTCCAGTCTACTTTAGACTTTTTCTGTTTCTGAGGATACCATACTAAATATTTTCTTATAATGTATCCCACAGATGAATAGAAAATTGAACTTGTAGTCTCAGTTAAGATATGGATACCACAGTAAATGTTTGCATTTTATAGAGAAGATACGTGCAAGAACTTAAACTAAATTCTAGCAGAAAATTTATTTCTATCAATGTGATAGGACTGTCTTAAGTCATGAGTGAGACTTCTTAATCAACTGCTAATAGGTTTTAGATTTCTTAGATGTTGCTTGCAGTACTGTTCTTAGTCCTGCGTGGTGGCAGGTCCAAACACTACATATGTTATCACTTCAGAAGTTCAGGGTGTACTGATGGAACTTTATTTTTAATATTCATGGTAAACATTCAGCCAAACCTACTGTAGATTTATAATAGCTCTGCTGAGTCTCATTCCAACATAAATAGCAGCTAAAGCTTTTTTCCCATATTCCTGGAGTAGACTTCATGGTGAAGTTTCCTGGGCTGGAATGAAAATCTATTATCCATTGTGGCTTTTGTATTGGCTTTCCAAGTTAGAGCAATAACTTATTGAGCTTTTTGTCCCCGATTAATTATTTTGACATATGCTGAATTTTGCAGTTGATTTTGGAGTGAGTGCCCAGGTGAGCAGAACTAATGGAAGGAGAAATAGCTTTATTGGGACACCATACTGGATGGCACCTGAGGTGATTGACTGTGATGAGGACCCAAGACGCTCCTATGATTACAGAGTAAGTGTGAGGATTCAGACAGTGGGAAGCAAAATTTGGAAAGGATTTTTGACTAACATTTATTTTAACGATAAAATAAAACAATAAAAAGCAGGCAACCCCTTCTTCCACGTTAAACTCTAATAGGAACTTCTAGCCTCTATTCCTATATATGGTTTGATTATATGTATAAAAATAATATTTTCAGAGGCTGTAGACAAAGTAGACCTTTGGGAGCTACCCAGATTTGAGTCAGAATGTCTAGTGTATGTTGCTTGCAATTTCTTGGTAAAAATATTATATTATGTGGCTTTATATGGAAATTCAACTTCCAGGGGCAGTGGGCTTTGTAAACTTAAAAATGAATAAATCTAAAGCTAATTATTAATCCCTACGGTAACTTAGCTCCAAAAAGGAAAAAAAAAATAATTTGATTACTCAGGGTAATGGAGAAAATTCTTGGCATGGTTCACCTCCCAAACCACAGAAAATCACTGGAATAGACAAATTAAGTAACAATTCATGCTATTTATTAAAATTTCCACTGAAGCTGCAATTTGGACAATATACATCTATGTACACATTTCAAAAAGCTGATGTGGAAAGAAAACTCTCCATTTGCTATAGACTGGAAAAACCTCATTCTCTCCACATCATAAGTCATCTGAACAATTCATTGTGGTCTCCCTATGTGGAACCTAGGACTCGATACTTGAAGTTGATTAATTTAAGTTTCATCTCTTTTCCCTTTCCTTAAATGCCCTCTGCTTGATTTGAAAAATAATTATTTACTGAGAGCCTATTATATGTTCAGTGCTATGTTAAGAGCTATGGAGAGTATGGAAGCATAAAGTTTTTTAAGTGGCTTGCTGTAAAAATAATGCTTTATAGCTATATATATATTTTTTTGCAGTCTTCCAAGGACTTTCACCTGTATTGGTTATTTTTATTTTTTAGCCCCATGTAGCTGAAAGAAAGTTAAAGGCTTTCATAGCAACTGAAGTTAAGATAGCTATAAACTGGGGTTCTAAGAATTCAATTAGCTTGTTTAGGAATCATTCAAGTCCTGTGCCCTTTCCACACTCTGGAAACAAAGTGCTTTACAGTTAATATTAGTAGAACAATTTTCTAGAGCCTTATTATAATTCTAGCCTCAGTTTACTATATTCCAGGAACTTCAGAAACATGTACACATACACATACACACACACCAGTCCTATGAGGTAGATACTGTTATTAACACGATTTTACATAGTGTGAACTCGAGGTACAGAGAGTTAAATCATTTGCCCAAGATCACATGACTGGTGGATCTATGTAATAGGGCTTCTTTATGGCAAGTTTCTTTGGGTATTTCAGGTAAGGTAACATTAGAAATATCTCCACTGTGGACTTTTCCTTGCACTGAACCCCATTCCGTATCAGCCTGTTGTGTAGTGAGGTACTGGCTGGTCACAAGGTCAGATAATGTCTTCTTTTAACGTCTGTCTATAATGGAACTTCATTATAGAAAACCCATAAAATGGCTCTGGCATTGAGACCTCCACCCCTAGCCAAAGGTTGTTTTGAGACTCTAAATAATACCACTTTCCCATTTTTAACTGACTTTTTTGTGTCATCTTTTCTTTCACAGAGTGATGTGTGGTCTGTGGGCATCACTGCTATTGAAATGGCTGAAGGAGCTCCTCGTGAGTAAAACTGTTTTATATTTTTTAAAGGCTAGGGGACCGTACTCTATGAATCTGTCTCTGCGGGAGATGAGGTTGTCTGTCAGCTTTGACTGGCCACACAGGTGTCACACTATGTGCCAAACTGCCATTGGTGGCTTTTTCAGTGATTACAAAATACTTATGTCAGAATGGCTAAATACGGATATATAAAAACTGTTTGTGCTTTTCTTTTCTTTCTTATGATATCTTATTTTAAGCTGAGTGTTGTTTCAATTTAGCTTCAGTAGTATTCAGTCCTGATAGTCCTAAGCGACCAGAATCCTTGGTATACTAATCTGTATTGCCTGCTGGAATATTTAGGTTCCAGAACATTTACAGTCACACAGGTTTACTGCCTCAGGCTGTGATAGTTGAGAAAATCCTCCACGAGTTCACTGAAATTGAGCCAATCCTCAGTAATGTTGGGAAATAAACATTTTTTTTTCCTTTGGAGTCAATCCAGCTCACCTTTGGTGCTCTCTTTGCTCCTTTCAGCCACACTAGTGCCCCTAACTATTTTCTCTTGTTTCCCCCATGTCCCTGTCATTTCAATGACCTGTCAGCATCTTGTTCTCTCAAGGCACTGCTTTCTGGTAGGAAAGTGAAAATGGAGTGTGAACTTGGATAGAAATGATTGATAACCAACTAATGTATGACACTGGAGCATAGCATATTTGCTGTCCTCAATATCTAAATCCCAATGTAAAATGACAATACATTCCTGGTATTGTTGGATGAGAAGTGAAAGAAATGCCACAGGGTTGTGGGTGGGATTGCTGTGCTTACCTCTCTCCCAGCAGATCCTCCAGGTTCCCATGTTCCTGTCTGCACAATGTCCACCCATCAAGCTTTATAAGCTTGAATTATCTTAGCACTGTGTTTCAAGGCCAATGAGAGGAATTTCAAGAAGTAGAAATAATGGTGATATAATTGTTGAGAATTCCTGGTGTCCCCTGGAATAGCAAATGTGGGTTGGAATGAAGCTGGGACAGATATGGAGGTCAGGTTGCTGCTAACTCTATTCTATTCTAGTGCCCCCCCCAAAAAACTGTAAAGTACTTAAGCTGGGTGAATAAAAAACTAACGATGGGAAAGATTAAAATGTAAAAAAATTATATATGATGCATATGTGAAATTGAAATGAGACACATATGTGAAATTGAAATGAACTATTCCTCATAGTCTGATTATTTCTGTTTGGGAAACATGCTTAGATTATGTTAGATTGAGCAGCAGCTCCTCCTCCTCCTTCTCCTTCTACTGCTTCTTTTTCTTCTCCTTCTCTCCTCTCTCTTTAAATACACAATATGATATTTCATATTACTATTGATGTATAATTTTGGTTAGGATACATGCCTCCATCAAGTAGTATCTTTCTTCCATTGTTTCTGAGTGCTCATCACCATGTCTTTTTGAAAAAACAGCTTTCTACATTTTATAGGTTTGTACTTCTTGGTTCACCTTCTTTTGTGTCACTTTTTGTCATTACAAATATTAAGTCATGGGAGAAAAAAAGGGGTGATGAGCAAACTTACAGAAGGAGTACAGAGAAAGCATTTTGCACAGAGTACACACACAAAAAAAAATTGGCAAGCTGTATAATGAAGATGAGTCAGGAAAAGAAGATTCTGAACTCACAGGGAGGGAAAATAGGACGAGCTTGCCTAGATAAGTAATTGGAACAGTACAGCTTTGGTCATGAGCAATTCTAGATAGCCTCCTTACTAAAACATTTATCTTTAATCAGCCTCCTTTATTGCCTGGAATATGACATCGTTTCTTTGCATGGAAACAATTGTCATCAATTTAACTGCAGAAATCCTCCAGGTTATGATAATTATCTTCTCAAAGGAGGTGGCCTTCCAAAGTGACCAATATCTGACAATAAATATCCTTTGAGATCCAGATAACAAAATTCTCTTTCCCTTTGGTCTTTCTCTGGTGAGTTTCTCCCAGAGAAGTAAAGAGATGTAGAGTAATTTCTTCTCACTGAAAGGGGGCTCCAAAAAGAGAGAACTAGACCCTTGCACATCAGGACCTCCTTCAGTCCTTTGGTTCTGGGTAGGAATTCAAACACTATGGGGACCTTTAATCCAAGGCCAGAACATCGCTAGTAGTCATTCAAACACCAGTTTAATTTGAATAGATGTGTTTCTTAGCCTCTTTATTTTTTATAGAAAAGAGAATCTCTTTGTCTGGAGGAGAAGCAGGATAGGGTCAACAGTTTACTCTGACTCCCCTTCCTTGTCAAGGGTCTACACCAGCCAATTTACTTTAATCCGGACCACATCTTTCCCTGTTTTGGCATTCTCCTTGATATTGTAGAGATTACTTTTCACATTGTCTATGATATTTGTTTATAGTCCTACTTCTTTTTCTTGTAGTGTTCCTCCCTCACACCCCAAGCCAATCTTTACCTGAGTGCTTCCTGGTTCAAATCTACCCATGTCCCATCAAGAGGCCCATTCCTTCAATATTCAGAAGATTCCTTCAGATCTCCACATGTGTTAGGAATAAACCACATTATTTAACCTAATTTAAACTAAACTCAGTTTAATATGTGTCCAACCCTCAAGAGATGTGTTTTTTAAAGGAAGTTTGCTATTTCAAAGGAATGAGCTTCTAATGATGAACATTTAGGCAGTGTTATGAAATGTGGGCCAAGGGGGCATTTGCCTACATTCCTAAAATTAGACCATATAAGAAACTAGCTACAGCTGCTGTTGACATAGCTCTTGTACCTACCCTATGCTCCATTCCTTTGTGAACTTTTCCTTTCCTTTAATGAAAACTTACCTAGTCTACATCCCAGCTCTTGACCCCTGAAGTTGTTGTCAGTTGACTGAAAGATGCTCAGATGTTAATAAATGACAACTGTTTAATATTGTACAAACTCACTTACAATATGTTTAAAAGACAAAACCTTGTGACTGATTGGACACAGTAGAGGAATAAAAGAGTCAAATATGATTCTGATCTTTTACACTTGGAACTAATTCTGCCCTCAGTTATAATAATGCACCTTCTATTAATTTATACCCATGTAATTGAGAATAAAGTTTGACTTTTGAACAACTGCCTTTGCATCATCCTGATAAAAATCACCTGGAGAAGTTTTTTCTACTACTATGAGAGGGCAGTTTGGCACACCAGGTTTTCCAAGGATTCATTTGGAGAGAGGAAGGTTGCCTTTATTATGAGTCATTAGTGTCAAACTGTCCTCACATGAATGACATGCTTATAGTGGTAGATGAAATTTACACTGTGGCCCTCCATTGGGAATTTTTTTTTTTGGACTGCCAGTTTTCTTTAATCAAAACATAAGGACTCCCTGGTGAACATATACCTCATTTTGTTAATCCACTCATGTATTGATGGTCCCCTGGGTTGATGCCACATCTTTGCAATTGTGAATTGTGCTACTGTAAACATTCAAGTGCAGGTGTCTTTTTGATAAAATTACTTCTTTTCCTTTGGGTAAATACCCAGTAGTGGGATTGCTGGATCGAATGGTAGGTCTACTTTTAGTACTTTGAGGAATGTCCATACCGTTTTCCATAGAGGTTGTGCTAATTTGTAGTCCCACCAACAATGTATAAGCTGTTCCTTCTTTCTGCATGGAGTACTACTCAGCCATAAAAAAGATGAATTAATACCTTTTGCAACAATCTGGATGGAACTGGAGACTATTCTCCTAAGTATCACAAGAATGGAAAAACAAACACCACATGTACTCACTATTAAATTGGAACTAACTGATGAGTGCACACGTGCACAGAGGGAAGTAAAACTCAGTGGAAAGCAACCACAAGGGAGAAACGAGGAGAGGAGGGGTCTAGACCAACCTAATGGGTACTATGAATACTATTTGAGTAACGGGCACACCTATAGCCAGGACTCAAGCATTACAAAAATGATCCGTGTAACCTAAAACATTTGTACCCCCTTAATATTTTAAAATAAAACAAACATAAGAGGAAATAAGTAAAGTGAGAAACATATTTAAACACTTATAGAAAAACCCAGAATTCCCAAACCAATGAGGTAATTGATTTCTATAGCATATACTGGAATAGGCTTTTCTTTGTGTGCTTGTGTGTGTGAAAGAGCAAATGAAAGTCTGGTAAATTGGCACAGACTTGAAGTGCCAGATACCTTTATGTGTAAGTTGCTATCTAATCTCCCCAACAACTCTTCGAAGGGATTCCTGCTACATTTCCTGTTTTTCTAGATGACGAAGCTGAGGTACAGACAGGTTAAGTAATTTGCTCAAAATCACAAAGGCAGAGCTAGGATTAGAATCCAGATGATCTTACTTTAGAGGGTGTGGTTTTAGTAGTTGCAATATATCTACTTCTTTTCCTAGGACTCTTAGCTTCCAAAACAGATTCTTCTCAGCTTTCTAGACCACCAAATAATTTTTCTTTCTATATTATTTTTCTTAGCTAGTAGTCTGGTTGACTTTTTAAGTCTGTAAATATATATTCCAGTTTTACAACTGTAAATATCTGCAACACAGAAACACAGAAGAGTGCTTGTCTCTACTTTAACTTTTCTAAATATAAATAATCAACATACATTTCAAAAAATTTATCTAGTTTAATTTATTAATAATTTGTCACACATAGTGATGCGAAACATTAGAATCTTATATATTGCAATGTTTGTGTTAAAATGAACTTTTCCTTTAATTACATTATTTTGTATGTATTCTACATGATAAGTGAAAGAACACTGAGAATCCCCTCTGGAATGAGAAGTGTGCTCTGTAGTTATTTTTCTCATTTTTTCTAAACTTATCTATTTCCATTTTCAGCTCTGTGTAACCTTCAGCCCCTGGAAGCCCTCTTTGTTATTCTGCGGGAATCTGCTCCTACAGTCAAATCCAGTGGATGGTAAAGATGAATGTCTTAATGTCCTAAATACGACGACTTGACATTTTTATTTAGCAAAGAAGTTTTAATTCATTTGGTCACTTCTGCTTCACTATCCTTTTTGGCAATATTCCCTAAAAATCCAATATCTTAACTGGGAGGTCTAAATGACCAGTTTTTATTAAGAGCTAGCTAGCCAACTAGAAATAAATAATATCCTCTATAGTATAATATTTTACAATGATATTAGTGTCCTGCTATTCATTAATAAACAGTCCGTTGTTCCCCAAGTAATAAGATGGACCAGTGGCAACCATTTGTGAAATTTCTTACTGTGCTTGAATAGGCAGTCTGTAATTGTGATATATAGCCCTGTTGCTTAATTGATTAAACTGAACGTGCATAAACCTGGAGCAGAGGACTTGTTCTCCCAGGGTGCCACAGGCCAGCTGAACTTGGGAATCCTCCTCTCTGAAGCTTGTTGATCTAGTACTTTAAACTCCTGTTTATTCTTAGTATGCACTGCTTGCCCTGGTAGAAGTGGTGATTGTGATTTGATTGCTGGTATTCTTCATAGTAATTCAATTTAACCCTTTCCATAGAATCAGGCTTTCTGGCCACATCTGTTTTCATGGGCCATTTAAAAAGAATAGTCAGTTATGGTGCTATTAACACCTTCTTTTTGGATCATTATATCCATGCCTCTCTAGTTAAAACTGCATATAGTCAAATGAAACATTTAGAGTGTGACTATTGTGGGCTGAGCAATCTAGTCTCACAGAGTATATATATCACATTAACTATTTAATTGTCATATTGCCACTTGAATTTTTACCTGTACATACAGCTAAACTTCAATAATTGAAGTTTGTACTTTCATTTGAGCAGAAAATGCTGTTGATGCTTGCTTCTTTTCTGAGATTTCAATGGCCTCACTGTAATGTATATTGCCAAACTGCCTGGTATTTGCCAATTGAAAAGACAATCATAGCTAGAATCAACTCTCACCAAAAATATGATTTTTCAGAGTGGCATGTGGGTGGGGTTGGAAGAGGTGTGGCAGGCCTGAAAATACTTTTATGTCTTTGACTCATTTCTTTTAGGTCCCGCAAGTTCCACAATTTTATGGAAAAATGCATGATAAAAAATTTTCTGGTCCGTCCTACATCAGCAAATATGCTGTATCACCCATTCGTTCGGGAAATAAAAAATGAACGACATGTTGTTGAGTCATTAACAAAGCATCTTACTGGAATCATCAAAAAAAGACAAAAAAAAGGTAGAATCTGTGATGTTTTTCATTTTACCAGAATGAATAGTTAGATAAGAGCAGAATTTATTCATTTATTGGAGTTGGAAAAAATATTTGCTAAAGAACTAGGTTGAAAATAAAAATTCTGAGGCCTTCCATATTTATTTTTCCAATAATGTGCCATGTGGTGTTATTCAGTTCACTAACTCTTGGCTGGGTGTACACACATATATAAATGTATACACACACACACATACATATATGGCTATTCATTATTGCCAGTTACAACTGGCAAGTATTCATATTTACAAAGACCTTGAAAGCCTCACATAGAATTTTGTGACATGCCAATTTTAAGTAAACTAAAGAAATATATTAAATTAAAGGTAACAAAATCTATAGCTTACTGTTCTTTTTCAGCTGATATTTTAACTCTACAGAGATAAGTGGATTTATAATTAACCATTTATTAACTAATAATTTTGAAGTAGTTTTTGTGTACCATATAAAGCTTATTTTATGTACCGAACTCCAATTAAAATATGTTATTAAAGGAACTAATATACACAGATAAAAGTAAGCTTCTAGTTATTAAAAATGACAGGATGGATTTTCACCAAACCCAAAGGAAACTAATTAGGAATTTTTAACTTTATAGTTTACTTGGCATATCACACATTTGATTTTGGGGACCATAGGCAGGGGTGAGAGTAACAATGGAGTACAGAAGGGGGAACTTAAAAAAGCAGGCATCCTCAGATAAGCTGCAGGACTAATTACAGTGGAGATAATCCATCTGCACAACTATATGTATTCCATTTTGAAGTGAGGAACAGCAAGACTTAATTTACTTATCTATAGTGATGAAATCATTGGGCCAACATCACAGAGGCCAGCCAGTCTCAAATGGGTGCAGGAAAACCACACATCTACTTGATAATTTGCTAATTTCCAGGTTGCAAGATTTCTAAAATGTTACCTGCAGGAAAATTCCCATTTTTATGGAGGTCACTCTAAAGTAAATATAGTTGCCCTAAACATTTTAAAATAGGACATTCAAAAGGAAACTTTTGTTTGTAAGGTTCTGTATTTCAGTAGTAAACAGCACAGCTGATAAGAAGCTGAATGTTTTCAATGTGACAAGTGTAAAACCCAGAATTAAGAATTTACCTTGTCATTGAAAAGACCAGAGATCATTCCCAAGCTATGAAGGTTGACATCTAGAGCCCAAATCTGTAAGCCATGTTCACAGATCATGCAGGGGTCCTCAAACTACGGTCTGTGGGCCACATGTGGCCCACTGAGGACATTTATCTGGTCCACTGGGTGTTTTTGCTGCCGCTGCCTGTCCTGCTTAGCAGCTGACTCATCCCGGGCCCACAGTGAGCATGTGTGGAATGTGTGCCGCACTCTCCAATGGCCCTCCAATGGTCTGAGGGACAGTGAACTGGCCCCTGCTTAAAAAGTTTGAGGACCCCTGAATTCTAGAGTTTCTGTTGTCATGTTCTCCCTTTGTCCCATCGCTTTTCTTTATCTTTTATTATATAATTGCAACAATCAGATTGCTAAATTTTCTTTCCCATGCCCAGAGAAATTAATCTGTATACAATAGCTGTACTGTGCTGTAAAAGTGGGCCTAGAAACTAGAACACTGTCTACATCCACCAACCAAGTTTTTTATTTATATATCTTTTTTTTTCATAGTTTCATCAGTCTTCACTGAGAATTGCATGTTTTTTATTTCAGCATATTATGAGGGTACAAATGTTTAGGTTACATATATTGCCTTTGCCCCACCCAAGTCAGAGCTTCAAGCATGTTTGCTTGAAGGGATACTTTCCACTCCACATCCTGAGCATTGGAGAGTACAAAGTGACTAAGGTGTATTACATGCTTCTCTGCTGTTTATGCATTGTTTTTCTCTTTCCTAAAAAGGGATTCCTCTGGTCTTTGAAAGAGAAGAAGCTATTAAGGAACAGTACACCATGAGAAGATTCAGGTGTGTTAGACAAATTGCATATATAATTTGATGATAGCAACTCGCTTAAGGCTAGGTTAATTCATACAGTTGCCTTTGACTCAGAGTGATTTAATCCTTTCTGATACAACAAATAAGAAATCTCTGCTCTCAAGAGATATTGAGTGGAAATATTGAGGAGAACTTTTTATTACTACCCAAAGACTCCTTAATATCTGGCAATAGAATGATCAAGTAGATTATCAGACTCCATTAATAATTGAATATATTAGTAATACATGTTACCTGCAGGATATTTCAGACTTTACAGGAATAATTCCAGAAAGATTTACTGAAAATATATTTGTTGCAGAAAATGTCCATCTTTTAAAATAAAAGCAATTCCCCTGAATGGCTCTATTCCACTGAAAAATTCTAATTATATGGCAATCATTTGTGTATTTATTTCAGAGGACCCTCTTGCACTCATGAGCTTTTGAGATTGCCAACTAGCAGCAGATGCAGACCACTTAGAGTCCTGCATGGAGAACCCTCTCAGCCGAGGTGGTTACCTGATCGAGAAGAACCACAAATCCAGGCACTTCAGAAATTACAGGGAGCAGCCAGAGTGTTCGTGCCACTGCAAGCTGCGGACAAGGCACCTAGGCCTCTCCAGGGTCAGACTCAGGCACCTCAGGGTCAGACTCAGGCACCTCAACGACTACACGCGGCAGCTCGGGTGTTCATGCCACTGCAGGCTCAATTTAAGGCTAAGGCCTCTAGGCCTCTGCAGATGCAGATTAAGGCACCTCCACGACTACGGAGGGCAGCCCAGGTATTCATGCCACTACAGGCACAGGGTAGGACACCTAGGCCTCTACAGGCACAGACCCAGTTACCCAAAGAACAGCAGGCTCAGGCTCAGGCCCCAGCATCAGAACAGCCCCAAGATCTGGACCAGGTGCCAGAGGAATTTCAGGGGCAAGATCAGGTCCCGGAACACCATCAAGGGCAGGGCCAGGTTCCTCAACAGCAGAGACAAAACCAGGTACCAGAACAGCAGCTGGGGCAGAACCCAGCACCCGAACAGCCAGAAGTACAGGAAGAGGCTGCTGAGCCAGAACAGGAAGAAACTGAGGGAGAGGAACCTGAGTCATTGCTAGTGCACGCCCAGGTGTTCCTGCCCCTACTGTCACAGAACCACCATGTGCTGTTGCCCCTGCATTTGGATACTCAGGTGCTCATTCCCATAGAGCGTGAGTGCCAAATCGAAGGGTCACCTAGGGCACAGATCTGGGCCCTGGAGCAACCACAGGCAATTGGCTCAGTTCAAGCACTGATAGAGGGACTATCAAGAGACTTGCTTCAAGCACCAAACTCACGTAACTCAAAGCCACTTGGTCCACTGCAAACCCTGATGGAAAACCTGGCATCAGATACCTTTTACTCGAAACCCGAACAGGCACGGAAGAAAAAATCTAAAGTTTTTAGTCTAAGGCAGGCACTGGCAAAAAGACTGTCACCAAAGAGGTTCAGGGCAAAGTCATCACGGAGACACGAAGAGCTTGAACTCTCAGATTTAGAAGCTGGCAGGCAAAGGCGCCAACGCAGATGGGAAGATGTCTTTAATCAGAATGAAGAGGTATCGAGACAAGTTGAAAATGTAAGAGTTTTTGATATTTTTATGCTGACTAAAAAATGTAGTGAAAATGTTCTAGTTCATGCTGATGTTTTTCCTCTGTAAAATCAAATGAAATAAATATTCCTTGTGTTCCACAGATTTACTAATTTTTACTTCAAATAAATTATCCTGAGTTTTAAAGATAATTGTGACTGAATATGAGAAAAACCTTTTGCTTGAATGATGTAGGTAGTTGCTTAATGTATCTCGATTGAAATATAGCTTGAATTATTAGTTTTCTACAGATTATTCCCTTAACCAACAAAGATAATATATGCACATTTAAAATTACTATTTTGGATCTTTAAAAATTACTTTCATTATTTAAAATTTCAAAGATAACTCATTAAAAATGAACACAAAAACAAATCTGTTTTTTTCTCTAACCTCTATGTTAGTTTACTTGCTTTTTCTTCCCATAGAATGCTGAGCTCTACTATTTGAGTGAATTACACTCATTTTTGTTCTTCGGGATGTTTAAATCAAGGTTAAAATGAGAGAGAGAAGCAGTTTCCAAAACATTTTGTATATGGTTACCATATTTATGACTTGTCTCACTAATTTGCTGCCCATTTTACATAATTAATCAATGATGTGACCTCACAGAACATGAAACAAGTTACAAGTTGTTCTCTGCATTTTGAAACGTGGAAAACAATGTATCAAATTCTATCTTATTTAGGAACAGTCAATAAAACATCATTCTTTCAAAAACCATTAGTGTAAAGTAGGTGTAATATGACTGGAGCTATTGAATTTAATCTGGCAAATCTAATCTGATGATGATTAGGTTGTGGACTTGATTAGCAAATTAATGAGGCTAGACAAGTTTAGGAGAACAGTTGTTTTATAATACTTCGCAGCATCCATTTACATAAAAGGAATCATTGTAATGATCCTAAATTAAACCCTGTGATCCACATCCATTTACCTAATAATAATTGATGTAATAATTACAAGTAAATCTTGTCTGATTGGATAAGGAATTCTTTTGGTTCATGCATTTGAGCCAATTGAATAAATGCTAATTCACTGACACGTTTAACATGAGAAGAGGTAAAAGTAGCAAGAGAAGCAAGACTCAAAGGGGGAAATGGATGTCTAGCTCCCAGAAAAAGAGGGAGATACAAAGAAAAAGAAAGCAGATGGAGAAGGGGAGGTATGAGTCTAGAATGGTCATATTTGGCAAAAATTAGGGCATCTAAAATGAAAATGACTATTCTGAATGAGCCCTAGTAATCAATTAGATCTAATGGATTTTGCATTTGTGAAAAAGACTTCTATTTATCCCTGGAAGACTCATTATCAGCATGGCACATATTTAGTGTCATTCATTGTTTTAGATATTTAGGTGAAAAGACATTCCAAAATAGAAAAAAAGTCAATAAATAATAGTTACCCATCCCACGACTCTAGGCTCTTATACAGGCATTCTTATCTTCATGTGTGACCCTTAACGAAAACATACAGGAAAATAAAATTATTGACAATATAGTAAAAGTCATAGATCTTTTGAAATACCTGAAATTTTATTAGAGTTTGGAGACATAGGTTAGTACTTCAACTCACCAGCAGGAAAAAAACCATATTTTTAGTTTGAGTTGAAGAGATAATATTGATTGGCTTAAAAAGGAATACAGTTTTCTAAACTCCTAGACCTCTGTTCAGGAGAAATATTTGCACCTCTGTATTATAGATCTTCCATTGCTCAGGAGGACCAAACTTTGGAGTTATATTAGCTTACTAAATGTGGCAGTTTGGTGTTATTAGTTAATCAATCTTTAGACCAGAGATTAACTTGAATCCCATAGGTCAGCTTGAAGAGATCAGCAATCTCTTTAAAGGTATATGCAAGTGTGTGTACCTATGCAGTTTTCTAAGGTCAATCTGTAGCATTCCTCAGATTCTGAAAGGGATCCGGAACTAAAAACTATTAGAAACTACTGGTTTAAATCATTTTTACTATTGGGAAATTATTCTTTTAAATTATATATTAGGATGATGCAGTTGTTCTTATATCACTTGCATTTTAACAACAATTAAAATACATATTTTCCTTTTTGTTTCAAAGGACAAAGAAGATGAGTCATCAGACAATGATGAGGTATTTCATTCTGTTCAGGCCGAAGTCCAAATAGAACCATTGCAGCCATACGTTCCAAATCCCAGAGAAAATGAGGTAAATTTCTCAAAATGAGTTCCTGTCATATTAGTAAGAGCCTAAAATGGTGGTTCTTAAACTTTTTGGTCTCAGGATCCCTTTATACTCTTAAATATTTAGGACCCCAAAAAGTTTTTGTTTATTACATGGATTGTGTCATTCAATGTCTAACTAATTAGAAATTAAAATTGAAAACAATTAAAAATAATTCACTTACGAAGTAATAAAACTATTGCATGTGTGGAAGAAACGATTTTTAAGGAAAAATAACTATATTTTCCAAAATAATATTTTAGAGAGAATGACATTATTTTATATTTTTTGTAGATCTCTTTAATCTATCTTGTTTAATGGAAAACAGCTGGATTCGCATATCTGCTTCTGCATTCAATCTGTTACCATATGTTGTTTTGATTGAAGTATATGAGTGAAAACTGGCTTCTCACATATAAGCAGTTGGAAAGGGAGAATTTTTACAGATTTTTCAGATAATTGTGGAAATCCTTTGATAATATACCGAAACTAGAGAAATGGAATCTAAAACCATATCAATGAAATTTTGTATACCTTGTTAATATTAAAACCCATTGGTCTGTCTTGTGCTATGAATAGATGTTTTGGTTATGCATGATTTTTAACTTCATGCATTGGTCATTTGGAAAATATTGGTTCACTGTGTATGTAGATCTTTCTAAATCTTTACATGTTTTCTTATACAATAGCAAAAAACAGCATTTGTTAATATCAGCATTAATTCCATCATATAAGCTACTGGGTATTGGTAACCTGTTAAGTGCTCAGTAGTAGAAACAGGTTTAAAAATTCTAATTTTCTGTTGAAAGCTCAAATTTTATCATTGCTAACAAATAACAGTCAGTTGGTTTTTTTTTTCCTTGAGTTGACAAGCTTACTTCATTCATTTAAAATAAAATGTCTACCAAATACCAATTAGTTTGAATAATCATAGTTTGTCAGTCTTACTTTAAGCAAAAATATTGCTCATGAAAACTGCTGGTAGTCCAGTTTGTAAAATAATCCTTGATTGTCTCTGTTCTGGGATGCAGTTCGTGACAGGGTGTGGATCATTTAATCTGTGGCTTATTTTCTTACAATTATGGGAATAATTCAATCCTAGTGTCCAAGTTGGCATCCGTTTTCATGACATTGATAGCATTCTATTTAGCACATGTCTTAGTGAGGCCAGAGTTGTAGGTTCAATTCTTTTGTAGACAAGGTAGCATCATAACCAGTATTCCTAACAGCCAGCCATCTAAAAAATATTTTTCACTAAGGTAGATTAGGTGAGTGTGTGAAGAGCTCAAACTCTTGCCTTACTGATAGTGGGTCAGGAGCCTCATTATTGTTCATAGTCAACAAAAGGATGCTAATCAGCACAAGATGCTTCACAGGCATCTACTATGAAGTCTTTTATGGACATTTCTCCTTTTTCAAATACAATCTTTCTACAAGTGTGCCCTGGGCGAGTCAAAGGCATTACATGTAACCAAAATGTTTGTACCCCCATAATATCCTGAAATAAAAATAAATAAATAAATACAATCTTCCTGATACTAACAGTCTTCTGAAGTGAGCAACAAAGAATATTGCTTTATAAATATTAACCACTGGCAGAAGGAACATAAGGTGGATTGTATTCTTTAATTGGAAAAGCAATAATATCTTTTTCTCTGCCTTACTAAATGATTTTACTCATACTCTCAGGTAGTAATTATTACCTTAAGCATGACTTAAACAGGAAAATCATTTTCAGATTAAATACAGCCAATTCATATTAGGCATTGTATTTTTTATTGAGGGCCATTATCTATTTTGAGAAATTTGGGCCTTTGGTTTACTAATGTCAGTAAATTTACTGAGATCATCTTCATAAACCAAGAGGTCTAGACAGGATCAATATGATGCCAGCTATTTAAATTGACAGTGGAAAGAGTTAGGCAGATGCTTATCTTGCTTACTGCCAACCATCTGATTATATTTAGAAACACTCATTAGCAAAACATGAAAGATTCACAACATTTTTCATTTCTCACTTATCTGTCTCTTAGAGTGTAAACACAGCCTTGATAAGTCACTTCATAAAGAAATAATACTGTACTAAGGCTACTATAACTATAAAACTATAGTTTTAGGCTACTATAACTACTAAAACTATAGTTTTTAGAAACTATAGAATAAGTTTATCAGCATGAAAATGCTAGAATTTTAAAAAATGTAACATGTTGAAATTTCCTTTCTAAAGAATCTAGTGTGACTGGCGCATTGCATGTCAGAATGACCTATTTTTTGAGCAGCTAAAAACTATTGTGAGTAGAAACCTAGTGATATAAAACTAAATGAGGCAAGGCAACATTCCATGGCCCTGTCTACCAATGTTGGCAGAGAATAAATTTGCTTTATTGATGGAAGCTGGCTCTTATGTGCCCTTTCTTGAGTGTTTTGTTGTATTAGATGAGTGTATAATTAGTAAAATGCAAATTAATTTATTTAGAAGTGAAAAAGTATTGGGGACACTAATTATGAGAGTACAGTCAAATTGTAAAGTAGAAAAATAAACTTTCTTAAAGATGGAGTGGTTTTGACTCTTGAGAGATTTTAATGATTTGTTTATATGTGTGACAACTGTTGAAAACCTAGGATTCGTTTAAAAAGGTGAATGAATGAGAATTTGAACTTAAATTTTTAAATTCTGAGTGAGAAGTTTGCACTTGATATAAAAACAATGTGGTAACACGGAAAGAACATTAAATTAGGACTTGGGAGACTTGCATTCTGATTTTAGATGTTCCTTTGACTTCACATAACATTCCTACAAAAGTTATTTTTCCTGAGCACTACAGATTTCTCAACAATGAAATGAGGGCTTTTGATTATATGATCTCCAGAATCTGTTTCTATACTAAAATTGAAAGTTATTATCAGAAATTAATGGGTAAGCAATTCTAATGTTGTACTGTAACATTTATGAAAATAGGATCTATTTATTAAAACCATATTTTATAAGTCAGATTTTTAGGAAGATAGATATAAAAGGTATTTTACCATAAATAAATTACCCAATGAATTGGTGATCAAGAATTCTACTAAAGTATTCCATTATGTCTTTAAGGTTCAAGACGGACCCAGTATGCCTTACAACCAGGATCATGCAAATGGTGTCAAGGTCTCATCAAGGTACATGTCTTTATTTTAATATTCAAATTACTCATGTTTAATTATCACATGATAAACTAAAGCTTGTTTCTTTGACACTACGTTCTGTGTGAAGTCATAACTGAAATATCAACCCTCAACAATAAATCAGAATGGGTAAGCCTGAAAATTTAAAATATAGCGAAAATCAAATCTTAGACTCAATATTATATCAATAAAATATTATATATAATATTGATACCAGTCACTCTATTTTTTGATCTTTGTAATATTGATGATCTTCAGTAATTTCTTAAGATTGTGTTCCATGTCTTAGATGTTGTTTGCAATGTGTTATATTTTAAACCAAATTTTAAGTAGATTTTCTTTGAAAATCATACTACCTCCAACCCCAACTTAACAATGGAGAGAACTTAGCCTATATTGATTCACTCAGTCATTCAGTAAATATTTATTGAGCACTCACTGTTTTCTGGACAGTGTGGTAAGAGTGCATAGAGTTAATATTGTGTTGTATATATCTTACTATCTCATTATTTTTTAAAATCCCATACATTTATATCTTTAGATTTAACTCTTGTGCAGTCTTGAAAAATTGGAAAACAAGACTGGAAACACTTTTCTTTTTCTCTGTACTCAGTGAATGGGTTGTTATGATCCTTCTGACCTCAAAGGGAAGAAACCAGTTTTGAATAGTTGTTTTTGGTGTCATAGAACATAACTTTAATAAAATTCAATATATAAAAATCAAACTTAATGTTAAACTTGGAGTGATTGTTCACTTTACAAAAGGATTTTGAGTTTATGAATAGCAAACACGTTGCTTTTAAATATGGTTAAATTTATAAAATTGATTTAAATGAAACTTGAGTCTTTCCTGAAATTGGGACCATAGAAAAGACTTTCGTGATGTTTCAATACTAGCATACAATGTGTATTAACCAAACTGTGGTAATTGGAGTATCCATCACCTCAAGTATTTATCATTTGTTAGGAACATTCCAATTCTACTCTTTTAGTTATTTTAAAGTATCACATGTACCCTATAAATATGTGCAACTATTATGTACCCATAATAATTAAAAATAAAACATCTTTTAAAAAGTAAAAAGATTTGTCTGTTCTAGGCCTAAATCAATAACCAAAGTCTTTTCCATATAGAAACACTAAAGTAACTAGAAAATTTAGCATCACCGGTCCAAAGTAACTTTCTAAATATTCTTTGAATTTGAATAGTAAGAATGAAAGTGCCCTATCTGTCCATCTGTCTATCTATCTATCTATCTATCTATCTATCTATCTAAATCAGGAACAAGACATTAAAAAGCATGAACTTTAAGAATTTAAAATCAGGATAATAATAATAGAATATTTGACATAACGATAACTTATTTTCTTTATCATGTTAAAATAAGCACACTATAAGGTCATGCTTATTGCTGTTACTCAGGTAATAATGTTGTCTGAATATTAGCTTAAAAATGTTTATAGGAATTTTTAGAAATAAATATAATATATGAAGGAAACATACTGTATGGAAAAATGTTTTCATTGCTATATTTTGGAAATTTTTTTCTCTGTTCTAGATAAAATATCAGGTTTGGGGGAAAGTGGAAATTGGAAAATATTACTTAAGCTCTACTTCTTTTCAGTTTGATATATAACCATGTATTTAAGCAAAACTTTTTGTTAGTCTTTATGTTGAGTTGTACATTCCCCTTATGAATGTTAGGATATGGCACATGCTTTTCTGTCTTTTTATTAGTGTTCCTCAGCGATCTCTTTTGGAACAAGCTCAGAAGCCCATTGACATCAGACAAAGGAGTTTTCAGAATCCTCAGAATTTCCCAGCAGCATCAGGTGATTCAAAGCATAAAGTTTCAACAGTGAAAAAACAGAGCTAATGTTTAGCAATTTATATTTCAGAATTCCAGACAGAAGAATTTCAAGAAGGAGTGTATCGAAAAGTATCATGGAGGTCAAGTAGGATTAGGACCAGAGGCCATGCCATTGGATTTGGCAGTTGGGTGGTCAGTGGTGACCTTTGAGAAATGGAAAATAATTTTTCTTAAGTTTCTTCTTTTACTTGGGTAGTCATTAGGAATGTGTCTAGAAAGGCAAGGAGAGTCAATTTTATTTAGTTTCTATATCAGGTGAGAAAGATATGGGAAAGGAGCTTGGGAGAGGCCGCTCCAACAAGCGGCTTCCAACAAGCTTCCAACAAGCTAAAATTTATAGATAGCCTTTAGAGTATTGGATGCACTAGTTGTGAGCATGTGTTTTATTTATCAGTTTGTTATTTCACCTCCCCCAAAATGACAGTATCTCATAAATATCCATAAATGTTACAAGCTGATGATTTTACTCAGAATACATGAAAAATTAATCAATCGAATCATAGAAAATAACTTCGAGAATTGATATGAATTTCAAACAGGTGTTTTATTTTCAGATGTGCTTTGAGAGAGATTAAATGAATTATAGATTTGTGAAATATCAGGATAAATAAAACCAAAAGTTGTGCCTTGGGTCATGAAATCTAGGATTATCTAGTTTTAAGCAATCCAGGCAAGTTTAAGCAAGGGGAAAATGCCTAATTGAGTGTCTGAGTCATCTCTAAAAATATAGCATACAGATTTTAGTAAAATTTTAATAATAAAAAGGATATAGATATGCCTCTCTTTTTGAAAATTTAATATTTGAGGATCTGAACTGAAAAACCCCATTCTTCTTAAGAAACTTACATAATGGCAGACTTTTTTTTTTAAATAGTAGTGTTCCCTCATGCACAAATACTATGTTGCAAGAAATAAGATAAGCATAAATAAAGAGTAAATTTAGGAATTTTTGCCCCAGAATATTTTTCTTCTGGTTTGACTTGGGCTGATTTTGCTAATATTGGGCAAACAACTAAAAATTTAAGATTTATTCATGTTTTATTTTGGAACTAAGGAAATTCTGGATTAGGCTCCAAAGCAGTCATTAATATTGATGGGCGAGAGAAGGGGGATAGCATTTGTGCAGATAATAGCTAAACATCTTATATCTCTTTAGTTCCAAAATTCTTTTGTTTTATTGTGTGTGCTATTTGATATTCCCATGAGATGACAAGACCATGAAATCAGAGCACCTTACTACAGATTTGTCTCAAATTCTCAAAACATTTACCCGAACTTCTTATTTGGCCTGCTAACACACCAAAAGACTTCAGAGAAATGGTTTCCTGCAGAAAAATAATAAAGAGCAAAAGTCCAACAGTACCAGAAAATGAGTACACAAATTTTGGCACGTGTTCAGTGAAATGTTCTTAAAAGATAGCAGTCTTACAATACATGCTTTTTGGAATTGTAGTGTCTATACTTTGACTATGTACACCAAGACTGAAAATAAAAGAAAGGCAGTAGTCTTTAAAATCCAAGCACACAAAAACAATAAACAGGGACATGACTGTTCCTGAAGTGAAGCTTTTTCTAAGTACACTCACTAAGATCTGATATTTGATCCTGTTAAATATTCTTACTAGATTTCGACCACAGGTGTTGTTTACTGTACCACAACTCAATATCAAAATCTGGATTTCCAAACCAGATAAATTTGTATTTTAAATAGAAATATTTACACTATAGAATTGAGCTGTCCAATATTAGCCACATGTGACTATTGAAATGTAAACTCAAATGAAAAATGAATAAAATTAAAAAGTCTGTTTCTCAGACACGCTGGCCACATTTCAAATGCTCAATAGTCGCATGTGACTAGTGGCTACTGCATTGGACAGTGTGGATACAGAACATTTTCTTCACTGCAGAAAGTTCTATTGTATTTCACTGTTATAGAAAAGTTCCCAGCTGTATAAAAAGGTATAAGTTTTATCTCTTTTCAGTAGTTCACTCCTTAACTGTATTGAAATACATCAGGATATATCACTTGGTAGAAATTAGGGGGTTAAGATTTCAGAGTCAACTCTCATTTTGAGAGTTTTGGATAGCATATGATCTCCTAATGCACTGTTGGGCCTTTTTTCTATTGGTTAGCATGTGATACCAGCCCTTTCTATTCTTTTTTTTTTTTTTTTTTTTTTTTTTTCCAGAATATTGCAAGGGTACAAACACTTTGGTTGGAGAAAGTAACCCACACATAACACAGTCCCTGAAAAGAATAGTACCTTCCCAGACACGTGCTCTTCACCCCACTTCTTTCCCTGTACCCCCCC